CACGTTCATCATTTTTGCCTTTGTTGTGCTCAGGTATAGTTTATTCCATTCCTTCTGGGCTTTTTTTTTTAAAATGAAGTCTCGTTAAACTTTGTCAAATGACTTTTTAAAAAAAATCAATTAAGATATGGATATGGTTTCTACCCTTAACTCAATTTATGTGCTGAATTGAATCTATGGATTTATATACAGTAAAGCAACATTCTTAGAACAAAACCATGATCCCATTACTGTGTTTTTGAATCCAGGTTGTGATGATTTTATTGAAAATTGTTGTATATACTTCACATTAGAAATTTATAGATCTGGAGTTTCTTTCTTTGTTGTGCCATCATCCTGTTTAGGTATCAGGGTAGAGCTGGCTTCGTATTGACTTGCTGGTATTCCTTTCTTTTTTTTTGTTCTATGAAACAGTGTGAGGAGCTTTTGTGTTAGATTTTTCAAAGATTTGCTAGAATTCACCATTTGGTGCCGGCCCTTTCTTTGTTGGGAGAGTTTTTAATTACTGCTTCAATCATGTGTCCTTTACTTTAGATTTATTAAAAGGAAGAAAATTCAGCAAGTGCCTGATTTATCGAGACGAAACCCAGTAGTTTCATAATAGCAAAGACAACATATTTGAGATGTTCATTAGAACAGTCTGTCTGGTTGGTAGAATGTAGACCGCCAGGTGGCTTTTTGGGAGGAGTTACTGCGGGGAATGGCGGTGCTGGTGACTGAGCCTAGGGCCTCTTGCATGGCAAATAAGCACTCTACCACTGAACTAGGTACAGCTCCAGGCCTCAGGTCATTTGATTTGATGTTATACTTTACCCTCGTAATGAAAAGAATTTGGAGGCACATACTTGCAGTATCCCTGTTTACTGAGATACGTGTTTTGGCCTTGGTGTTCAACTAAGTTCGGTATTTAGTTTTGGGTGGTTGAGTGATCCTACTTCAGCATCGTTAGTGGTATCCTAGGAAACTGTGCGTGCAATCATCGTGTATTCACTAAAGCTTCCCACAATGTCTTCTCAATGATTCCAGTCTCATTGGCAAACGATGATGTCCATTCGGTACTTTAGTATATGTGATTAATATTTGGTGAGTATTTACTTCTCATTAGATTCCACCCACATAGAAACAATTTTTGTTGCAAAATATTGAAATGGTGAATGTAAAATAATTTTATGTAAAAATAAGAGCTTTCAAAGAATTAGAATTGATAGGTAATATCAAAACATTCAGAAAATGCATTATATGGTTCATTTTATAACGGGAACAAAGTTTTTTTTATGGATATGGGAAAGTAATCGCACAAAGGTTGGTATCTAGAAATGCTGGGCTGCCCCAAGAAAATAAAGAAAATATATTTAGGCTTCTCAGTAACAAGGGTTTGAGGGAAATTGTTAGTAAAAGTTGTAATAATGTTAAGGAAGCTGCTGGAAAACAGACCAAACCTTTGGTTTGGGCCTAAGCTATCTACAAGCAAAATGTGAAGCGCGCCCCCTGGTGGTGTTTAACTGCATAGGATTAATGAATCAAATTTTTGTTTGCTTTTTTAAGATAGATGCTCCTTTCCCCAGCTTTATTGTTAGTGTCGGCCATCGTCTTTGTCGTTCTCATAGTCGTCTTCTCCTTCTCCTCCTCCTTCTTTCACTTTTTTGTTGAAATTTTTTTCCATATGCTGTATTCTGGTTATAGCTTCCCTGCCCTTATCTCCTTCCAGATCTTTCCCACCCAGCCTTAAACTGTGGATTCCAGTCTACGTGGAGTCACAGGACTGACGTTGTGTGGGCGTCACTAATTTGGCAATAGTGAAAGGCTTCTGAATGTGCAATCACTGAAAATCCCAGCTCAGACAGGAAAAGCATTCGAGGTGTCTCTGACTGTGATGGCCTGTGAAGACCACCACGGCCTTGCTCTGAAGACGGCACAGCAGAGTGTAATGCTCACATTGATTTCCTCATTCAGCTCTGTGCTGTTTCATCTTGACCCTCTGAAGGTTCTAGTTTTCTTGTGGTTTATTCCACTGTGCTCAGACAGAACACAAGGAATTACTCACTTTTCATATAAGATTTGCTCTATGTAGACGTGTGTGTGTGTTTGGAGAGTTTCATGAGCTGCATATTCTCAAGTATTTGTAGGAAATGCTTTGCAGATATCTTTAAGTTTACTTGGTTTATTATGGCATTTAATTCGGGGACTCCCCCATTTTGTGTGTCCTCAGAATAACAAAAGGATCTCATATTTCATCCAGTATACTAGTATCTATGCCTTTTGACTGCAGAATCGAGACCACTGAAGAGTTGTTGAGAAATGTGTGTATCATTGCCCTGATTTTGGTGATGTTGTGGTATTTGGCGTTTCCTTATTCCTCCCTTCTCTAACTATTATTGAAGAGTGGTTTGTCCATCCCCACTGGTATGCTTGTCTTCCTTTTCAGTCTCAAGATTTAGTCTGGTGGACCTGGGTGGAGGCCGAGAGGTCCCAGTGGTCGCTTCTTCAGTGGACCAGCCTTGAGCTGATGAAGGGTGAGGGTGGCTTTGGGAACGAGAGCCCGTGGAATAGTGCACTCCCTTCTAACCATCTGAAGGGAGGAATGGAGACTGTGTGCTCAGGAAGGTCCAGCCCCATCACTGCCCAGGCCAGCATAGCAGGAAGACTCGGCCCTGCCTGCTGCTTCAATGAGGACAGCATTCCAGAGAGCCCTGCCAATCAGTCTAGTGAGCCCAGGATCCCACCGATGCTCCATATCCCTCATCTCCTGGGGCGTTAGAAATAACCTGGTACCCCTGGACAGTGCAAGTTTCTCTGGAAGACCAAGGGTGAGCAAAAAAATCACATAATTCAAACATTCAATGATCTAACACCAAGTGAACAAATCCCAAAACAAAAGCCCAAGTTACAAGAAAAACCAGCAAATGAATTTTAAATTTTAAAAAAAGGAAATAAACTCTTGAAAGAGTACTGAGTATCCAGACAGCTGGATGAAATAAGGGTGTTGGTCCTAATTGGACTTCAGGCCACACTTATAAGAAGGATTTTGTACCTGGTAGTATAACCTTAGTCAACCAACTGTGATTGGTGATATTATGGACCCAAGAAGAAAACTTACTGCTGCCAATTTCCTAAACGAATAGAATTTCCAACTACGTTCTAAATAACTATAGTTATTTCTACAGACAAATGTAGCTCTTGATCCCATCAAAGAAGCTCCTGTTTCAGTAGAACACAACTATGGCAGACATTTATAGCTGGTCAAAGTGCAGAGAACTGGCTGTGGAATGCCCACCTCCAGCTAAGACATCGAAACTCACACATAAGCTTTAGGAAATGAGTCAGAAGAAAGGCTGGAATGATTCTATGAATCAGAAGGCCCGCATGTGTTCTAGGAGCTAATATCTTCCATTATGACAGAGAGCTGTAGTCACAAAATCTTAATATCGTCACCTAAACAAGACCTCCACAATTAGTTAACATCCCACAGTTGTGGGGGAAATCTCACAAAAGATTTATATCATCACCTTTAGATGAAGAGTACTATGCAATTAATAGTTACTAAGAGATGGAGAATAAGTGTTCTCTAGAGACAGGCACCCTGATAGGTTATCCAACCCCATGTGGTCACCCCTAAATACATGTATGTATGAGCAACACCAAATGCTCTCACCAATTGTATTTACATATACATATCATTATACATATGGAATTGGAAGGGGAATGTGGAAATAGAAATTATGTTAATGTTGTACTTGTGTTTGGAATTATCAAAAATAATAAATATTTTAAAAACTCAAAAAAAAAAGGGTGTTGGCATTTTCTGAATGTGTGCCAACACTTGATTCTATTGTTACTTTTAAGGTTTCCTGCCATGCTGGGAAGTGTGCTGACACCTGTTTGAATGTTAAATGAATTTACCTAGTGGCTAATGTTGTGGAATATATATTTTTTTGAGTCTGTTTTCAATCACATATCTTTCTCAGTGTTTTTAGCTGCTTTTTAACAGAATTGCCTTTATAGTTCCTATTTGGAAAGCTTCCTGTCTATTTTAGGGGAGGGTTCTTTGTCAGATGGGCCCTTTAAGAAGGTAGCATTGCCAGGCAGTGGTGGTGCATGCCTTTAATCCCAGCACTTGGAAGGCAGAGGCAGACGGATCTCTGTGAGTTTGAGGGCAGCCTGGTCTACAAGAGATAGTTCCAGGACAGGCTCCAAAGCTACAGAGAAACCCTGTCTTGGAAAAACAAAAAGCAGCATCGCTGTTAGCTGTAATTAGCATAGGAGCCGGGCCAGAGGAGCTCTTTCTCTACCCTGGCCCTTGCTGGTACCTTCTTGGAAGTGGCCAATGATTTATGTATGTATGTCCCATTTGCAGTGGGAGCGTGAGCTTGTCTCTCCAGGTGGCACAGATGACATCACAGGACGAAGGACATGGAAATAGAATGGTTCTAGCTCTGTGGCTCTCAACCTTGTGGGTCCCCCAGTGGAAACAGAGGCTCAGATCAGCATCACTAGTCATGTACTGGAACGGAACGCTTCCTGTTTTCTGGTGCCAACGACGGAATCCAGGGGCATCCAGGATCATTAGGTGTTTGGCAATTAATCTGCCCTTAAGATGCACTCTGAGCTCCCTAGTGGGCTTCTTTTCTATCCTTATGTTCAAACCTCCATAATTTTCAATTAAGCAGTAAGTGGAGGAAAAGTAATTTAAAATATACTTTCCATCTTTTTTTGAGATAAGGTCTTTCTGTGCAGCTCAGGCTGGTCTCACTGTGCTAGCCCATCTCAGTCTCTCCAGTGCCAGGGTTACAGGTGTTTGCCACCATCCCCAGATGAATACTTAATTTCTAATTAATGCTGGCTGCTGACTGTATTTGTTTTTTTTTTTTTTTGCTTGGTTTTGTTTTTGTTATTCCAAGACAGGGTTTCTCTGTGTAAGAGCTCTGGCTGTCCTGGAACTCACTCTGTAGACCAGGTTAACCTCCAACTCAGAGATCTGCCTGCCTCTGTCTCTTGAGTGTGGGATTAAAGGTGTGTGCCCCCATTGCCCAGCCTGTGTGTTTGTTTATGATCTGAATATGGAGTATATTCAGGTGGGCAAAGTGTATTAATAGCACATTATTTAATGTCATGTGAGATGAAAAACTGTATTTAATGGGGTTTTCTTGTAAAATGAAGTTCTTATTTTGACAAAATGTTTCAAGAACTCTGTACAAAACTGGTGTCTAGAGACGTACAAGAGATGCGTGCATGTTGACTTACAAGTAACCTGCAGTAACAAACTACACATGCCAGCAGTTCATGCGGTGGGAAATCTCTTTGGTTTAATGGCAGATGGCTTTATTTACTGATGGGTGTAACTGATGGGTGCCCATTGTGATGTCCGCGTATGGATGGAATTTTATGTGCCTTTATCCCATCTTTTGCATTGAGGAAGAAGCTCAGTAAGTTGGAAGGCATAGATTTTTCAATTATCGATGGAAGCAGTTTTCCTCTCATTTCTGTCTGGACAAAAATCACTAGCTTGGAATACGCTGGGTTTCTGTAAACAAACAGAGTTACAAAAGATAAAGCATTCATACTTGATCCTATGAAGTGACAGGTTTAGAGAGAGCAGAAGTCTCAAGTTTATTCTTTTTGACTCTTTTTATCATGCATATAACAAGAGAGTTAACCTAAAGGGGGAAGGGACAGGGACCTGAGGTCACATCCTTATAAAATAAAAGTTCTATTAAAATATTAAGTAGTCAGAATATATATTAAAACCTTAGCTGTAGTTACCCTTTCTTTTGCTATTTATTCAATCCTCAAAATGCACGCCTTTTCTTTTCTCTGAGCATCTGTTCTACTCCTGTTTATGTAGCATTTTCAACTTTATGTAGCACTTTTATACATGTAAATTGTTTACTTAATAAGAAATACAATATCTGCCTCTATTAAAAATAAAAAACAGTGAAATGAAAATTATATACATTCGTTCCTGCATATATATATAGTTTTTCACTGAGACATATTTATATTTTCCCTTTTATTAAACATACATTATTTTCTCATATAATATAATCTGAATACAGTTTCCCCTCCCTCTCCTCCTCCCAGTCATCACTACTTTCCCTCCCCTCCAGATCTACTCCCTTTCTGTCTCTCATTAGGAAAGAACAGGTTTCTAGAAGATAACAACAAACCATAACAAAATAAATACAACAAGATAAAATGAAAACCATCATATACAAGTTGGCCAAGCCAACATCATGTTTATAGTTATATAATTACTTTTATTAATTTCCCTGTTCTCCGAGGCAGAGTTTGACCTTGCATCTCAGCCTGGCCTTGAACTCATCTTGGCAATCCTCCAGCTTTCACTGCCCAAGTTCTAGGGCTACAGGCTTAAATGCCCAAGCCCAGCTACACACATGCAGTTTTAATCCTTAGATACTATGGTCACAGTAAACACATCTAAAAACTTTTAATTCATACTGTTTTATAAAAAAATAAGGTGATTTGAAAAATTCAAAGCTACACAACTATTCCATTAGCAAATTACCCTGTGAGAGGAAATATTCTAGATGCAAATTCAAGGGGAAAAGTGGTGCTCAGAAGGCGTTAACCAGCACAGCAGGGAAGGCTTTATGATAGGAGCAACACGATGGTGGACTCGAGTGGTTATGGCATATAGGTTCTATCGGATTAATTTATCTGAGCTACAGATCTATGTAAATACAGCAATATTTAGGATATTTTAGAATATTCACCTTTTCTTTATGTAAAATTCTATGTCAACTTAAAAATATGGAGGCAGAATTTCACAGTACTATTTTAAGAGCACAGTCAGTGATCACAGGAGTATCACCACATCTACATCTACATCTCCCTACGAAGAGTAGAGGATTTCTGTCAGCCCCAGAGCTCGACTGGAGTTTACAGTGGGATCACACACATCTGCTGTTTGTGTGAGTGATTCAGAATGGACAGTGTTGGACAAGTGTTCTGCACAGCTCAATTCCAAATGCCCTATCTACAACATTAGACTGCGTAGGAAGAAAAGACGAAGAACCATAGTTTCTTTCTCCCTTCTGTGAGAACGCGACTAAGATTATGCCAGTGGGAGGGGGCAAAGTCTGACCCTACACGCGTTAGCTAGACCACCAGAGATCCTGCCAAGTGTCAGTTCTCCTCACTGGGAGCAGCAGTTTATTAATTTTGTTCTGCTAGAAGCATAAGATATTGGTCACAAATTTAAAACTAACCAAGAAGTGGAAGGCCCCACGTTATTGTTCCTGTTCTGACTATGTGCGGTATTAACTCTGTCCACTTACATTTAAAAATAGATTTTCAGTAGAAAAAGCATTGAGGAATACAGTACTAAAACTACAAATACATTGTCTCTTATTATGAATTTATATTTTTCCATCAATTTTTTATGTTCACTTTATATGTATATGTCAATATTGTGATTTAATAATAACAGCATAATTTAAAAATAATGGATTCGTGAGGTGATTTGTACGCATGTATATACTCCAATTCAATGAAATGTATAATTTTATTAAATCTATTTTAGATTACCATTTTGTCCTTTGGTTGACCACCTGTCATCAGTACCTCATTCCTGATTTTGGCAGTTTTTATATGAATATTCCTGCTGGATATTTCATTCTATAGAAATATTTAAGCAGGTGATCGTGTAAATAATTTACTCAAGATAAAATATTTATGACTCATAAATGTGTATTGTAATTTCAGGGAATTTTATTTTATTTTTTAATTTAAATTTTAATGTTGTTTTAGAATTGTTCATGAAAATACAGCAGTACTGTATCTACATCATTTCTACCTCTCCCTATCCAGCTCTTCCTATATCCTTAATATCAAATTTGTGACCTCTTCCTCAATTATTGTTTTACACACACACACACACACACACACACACACACACACACTAAGCCTTCCTCAATTATTGTTTTATACACACACACACCCGACTAAGTCTACTTAGTGCTCCTCATATATTCATATCTTTAAAAGATTCCTTAGTTGATGCTGGAGAAATATAAACATCATGGAAGGTTTATCTGTGGCAAAATATTTGTGTATATGGTTATGCCCAGAGACTGAAAATACATTTTATAGTAAATTATCTGTTCTTATGTTTAAGACAAAAATATAAAGTTATTTTTTAAAGTTGCTTTTAGGGGCAGTTTTTTCCCCTCTCAACACAGTATGTTGGTACAAATTTCTATTGATGAGCTAGGAATCCTGAAGTACATCCTAAGATGAAGAGAGAAGGCCTGCTAAAGTAAACACGTATAAATGACACTTACTCTTTGAGAGGTGAGCACACATAGCCAGAAGGATGATTATAGCCACGGATATAATGCGGAGATGGAGGATATCCTGGGAAGTCCACACTGTTAGCTGTGATTAAAGAAACTGAAATGAGACCCAATTCACAGGGACAAAGATTATTTCTAGAAGCGTAATTTTAAAGTCTATAATAGCATTTGACTTCATTGCTAACACTAGTTTTATAGTGTACATGTATTGGTAGTGCTGGTATCCCTAAAGATGCTGGTATGTTTTATACAAAAAAAGCTCTTTAAAAGCATCATTTAGATGCTGGGCGATGGTGGCGCACACCTTTAATCCCAGCACTCGGGAGGCAGAGGCAGGTGGATCTCTGTGAGTTCGAGACCAGCCTGGTCTACAGAGCTAGTTCCAGGACAGGCTCCAAAGCCACAGAGAAACCCTGTCTCGAAAAACAAAAACAAAAACAAACAAACAAACAAACAAACAAACAAAGCATCATTTAGGGGGGCTGGAGAGATGGCTCAGAGGTTAAGAGCATTGCCTGCTCTTCCAAAGGTCCTTAGTTCAATTCCCAGCAACCACATTGTGGCTCACAACCTCTGTAATGAGGTCTGGTGCCCTCTTCTGGCCTGCAGGTATACATGGAAGGAATGCTGTATACATAATAAATAAATAAATATTTAAAAAAATAAATAAAAGCATCATTTAGTTCCTTTTTGAGGTTTGAAACAAAAGAACAAAGCATAAAAGAGATTGTTTTATTGGGGCTCATTGATTTTTGTTAATACTTTTATTTTCCATGAAATATCTGAAGTACTCAGACACTTCAAATGCTTTCTTCTGTTAATCTCATGTACTAATTTCAAGTAATGAAAACTTAGTAGAATTTGCCTTAGTAATTAATTATACAGAGAATATGCGTATTGTAGTGAAAAGAGGGAAGTGATTCAAAATAAATTTACGGTGATTACTTATTTTTAAATAGTTTAAAAATTATATAACTTTTGCTATGGCCAGAGCACAGGAATTGTCCTGATTTGTTTTCACAAGTCTGCGCACAATGCAAAGCACAGCTCAGGGCAGAGGAGCGGGCGGCGTGGCCAATGAATTCCCACTTATAGTTCGCTCTCTGAACAGAGCCCATTATACTGGGATGACGGGATGCCAGAGGGACACAAAGTATTTTCCACTTAAAACATGGAGCTATGCTTGTCGTTCTTCTCTTTTGTGAAATCTGCTACCGTTTCCCAAACAGTATGAGTCTTTGGTGGGCAGGTACTGTGGCAGTGAGCATTTATTTTGAAGACCTGAAAGACTAGAGCTGTAAGTTCAGGAGCTTATGATTCAGGTAAATCAATATTGTTTATGCTCAATATCTGGAAACTTGAGTTGTAACCTTAGTGAGACTCTACAGACAAAATATGTAGCCCCAAGCAAGGCACAGAGAAAAGCCTTAAAGGACTACGAAGAAAGCTGGCCAGTCACTGAACATGTATTCAGCAGAAATGTCTTGCGAAACGTGCGCTTTGCTGCTGCACAAACTGAATGGATATTCCTAGTCACTAGTTTACACGCATACACTGCTTTGTCTATTTATTATTTTTCGAAACAGGGTCAATGTGTAGTCTCTATATGGCTTCATATTCACTATACAAACAAGGGTATCCTCAAATTCATACAGCTTCACCTGCCTCTGCCTCCTAAGTGCAGAGGTTAAAAGCATGCTCCACCATGCGTTTTTAAAATTATCTTCTTACTCTGCTATGCTGGGATGGAGCCTGGGGCCTCCATGTCATGGTGGCTATGACAGCACCATGACACTGAGCTAAAACTGTAGCTGTTATTTTACCTGCCCTCTAACTATTAATAGAGGCTAGAAATGACTTATTTTCAAGACATGGGAAATTACAGACCTAAGTCTAGAAAAGGCAAATTTTCATATAATAGGTAGTGAAAACATTTTATCTGCTAAACTTTGAAACCAATGATTAAACTATGTATACTTTGAGGACCTTCATCTTTAATGATCTGCTATAAGATCTGAAAAGCAGGCTTTGAGTCAGAGGGATGAGAAGTTTTGTTTGTGAAACAGACTACCGGAGTCATCCCATTTTAAGTGTTGGGAAGTGATAACACAGCGTCACTGTCTATTCCTGAGGATCTTACAGGAGAGGAAATGTCCTTACAGAAATTACAGGATTAAATCAAATTCAAGAGGAAAACTGGGATCTTTGCTGCTACTCTGCCAAAGTTTTTCTCTCTCTTCTCTCCCCTCTCTCTCCCTCCTCTCTCTCTCCTCTCTTTCTCTTCTCTCTCCCTCCTCTTTCTCTCTCCCTACCCAGGGTTTCTCTGTGTAGCTTTGGAACCTGTCCTGGAACTCACTCAGTAGAACAGGCTGGCTGTGAACTCATGGAGATCTGCCTGCCTCGGTCTCCTGAGTGCTGGGATTAAAGGCGTGTGCCACCACTGTATGGCTAAGTAACTTTCATTGTATATGATCTTAAGCTTGCAGAGTCCACACCCTTGTGTTGTGAAAAGGTTTTGTGCCAGTAACACAAGTTAGCAAATAATGAAACATTTATATTTCATAGTCACGTCATTGCAGAGCAGAGTAGGGTTATATTAAAACTTACATCTCCTAGAAGAGATATAGGCACATTTAAGGAAAGACCCACCCAACAATATTCAGTATTATCCTATTTTATACTCAGTAGTGTAACAATTATTATATATGCCCATTTTAAACAAGTATAAAATTATATACAAAAAAGCGAGTTTTGTTTCATAGTATTAAAAATGCATGCATTGAAATTTTAGCTACAGTCTCTGTCTGTATTGATTCCTCAAGTTCACACTGCAAAAGTCCAGGAACAACTTATCTAAGCAGCACTTCTTGGGTTAGGTAAAATACCTCACCTGTGTACATGACCAAATAAATAAACAAACAAACATAAAAAGATTGGAACTACATTTCTTCTAAACCATTAGTACCAACAAAGGCAAAACATTTTTAACGACACACAGTAATTTTAAAACATGGGCAAACGTTTGAACTTACTACTGATAATGTCGATATTCCCTTCATAGTGCTTGATGCAGACTACGTCGACAAAGTCTCTAGGGGAAATTGAGCCCATGGCAAAACTTTGTGTCATGACATGGCATATAAATGTGTCCTGCAACAAATCAAACCATAAAGATGGCAAAAGTTGCTTAATGTTAGTGTAATGTTAGTGGTTTGTTGTTCCCCAAGAACTTCATCATGTATGTTTAGTCTGCCTTTAGGGAAAAAAAAGGTTTAAGATGAAGTGTTAAGGCGGTCTCACCATATCAACCTGCAATTTTAGTGTTAGGGTACACTGAGTCACAATTACACGTGCACAACATTCCACAAGGAATCCAAAGAACATTTGTTCTATTTGTAGATGAGAAGACATGGCCCAAAAATGAAATCCTATGTATGGCTAGAAAGCTGGTCAGAATTAGAGCCAAGATTGATCGATCGATCTATCTATCTATCTATCTATCTATCTATCTATCTATCTATCTATCTATCTTTCTCTCTCTTTCTTTCTTTTTCTGCCCTCCTTCCCTCCGCGCTCTCTTTCCTTCCTTCCTTCCTTCCTTCCTTCCTTCCTTCCTTCCTTCCTTCCTCCCTCCCTCCCTCCCTCCCTCCCTCCCTTCCTTCCTTCCTTCCTTTTTCTTCTCCCCCCCCTCCCTTTTTTTTTTTTTTTTATTGAGACAGGGTTTCACTGTGTAGCTCTGACTGTCCTGGAACTCACTAAGTAGACCAGGTTGGCCTCAAACTCACAGAGATTCACCTGCCTTTGCCTCCCAAGTGCTGAGATTAAAGGCATGCACCACCACCATCCGACTGGTCTTCTGATTTCTGTAGAGCACTATTTTGTCCCTCTGTGGGGTTGGTAAATATTTTGAAACATACATTCATTTGGCACGTTATGGCATAAGACCTAAAATTTATGATCAGTGTTTGAAACCACTGGTGAAACTGGATTCAGGATGGCTTAGCTGCAAATCCCTCCAACTCTTGGCCTGCATATGAGACCTCCCAGAATCCTCCAGCCAGCTCACTGCAAGGACCCACAGTCACTACTTATCCCCTCCAGTGATTTCAGCTCTCTGTTGGCCTGGATTGCTCATGCCAGGAAGGGAGTTCTTGAGAGAGCAATGTAAAGACACACCAAAATCCAACTTAGTGAACCAATGAATTTTATTAGGGGTACTTACAGGAATGTGAGTGGGAGTTACTTACTCAAAGACAGCTGCGCTACAAAGCCCACCCTAGCATGGGGAACAGTGTGGCACAATTAATAAAAACCCAGAGACAGATATTGGTGTTCAACGTGAAGGTCAGAAAAGAAAAACAGCCAGCCACTGGCTCTTACCTCGGTCCGAAATGGCGATCCTGCCTCCTGGAAACCTTAGAATGAGACTGCATTGAGAGCTGTTTCCTGACATCTTATAGTCCTCTCTAGTGCTGGGATGAAAGGCATGTACCACTACCACCCAGTTTCTATGGCAAACTAGTGTGGCTACTGGGATTAAAGGTATCACCACTGCCTGGTCTGTAAGGCTGACCAGTGTGGTTGTTTTTCTGATCTTCAGGCAAGCTTTATTTATTAAAATACAAGTAAAATATCACTGTAGAACAGTTCATAAAAGCCAGAAACCTGGAGCTCACTGCACTTCCTGCAGGCAGTTCAGGGTCTGAGAGTGTCCATTCCAGGTGGCTCTGTTTGTCTGAGCCTCTTCCAGGCAGCTCAGTCTGTTTCTTCTAGGCAGCTGGGCAGCTCTCTGCTTCTTTCTGGCTGCTTGACTTCTCTGAGTGACTCAGCAGTCTTTACTACTCACATACTCATGAAGAAGAAGGAGCCTAGGAAATTTGGTCAGTTTCAGGGACTTCCTGAAGCTATTTTAGTTGCTTACTTCCTGTCTTAACGGAGCTTCCCTTAAGGATGGAATGTTTAACTTGCCAGAAAGAAGCACTTTAAGTATATAGTTCTATAGTTACTAAAACTTGTTTAGTTCTCACACATGATAGAACTCATTTTGGTTCTTCCTCCTTCAGTACGTTCTACTGACTCCATCTCTAGGCTGCGTCTTCTATCCTTTGTGTTTCCTTTGCTCCATTTTGCTATTGCCCTAGCATAAAACACTGTAAGATCCTATTTAGATTGCTCTGATAGCTTCCTGACTGTTCTAATTTCATCTTTCCCCTTCAGTTATGATGGAAAGTTTTATTGGGCATCTTCATTTAATTTACCATCTGTGGTCTTTGAGAACCTACTCTTCTGGACTTTAATAATTCCACTGAAATGCCAACTATTATCCTCATAGAACGACATTTGTGTGTGACTCAGTCTTTCTCACTGCTTTGAATACACTTTTTTTTTTTTTTCTGTTTTTAGTACTTTAACTACAATACTACATGGAGTGTTTCTTTTTTTGGATCTGTTTGGTGTTCCATAAGCCTCTTGTATCTGGATAGCCACACTTTCCTTAGATTTAGAAATTTTTCTTCTATGATATCAATTGAAAATATTTTCTAGGCCTTTGGCATGGAATTCTCCTACTGTGCCCATAATTTGAAAGAGATTTCAAATGTTCCATTCACACTCAAATGTCATTTCTTAGCTGAGTGATTCATTTTTTCTACCTTATCCTTAAGCTTTGTTAGTCTATTTTCTAAAGGATAATTCTATTGGTTAGTTTTTTTTTTAGTGTTTTTAATTTGATTTGAGTTTTCATTTTCACTTCATAGTTTTATGGGTTTTCTTTAATGTTTCTATGTCCTTATTGAAGTTTGTTTCCATTATCCTTAATTGACATTGTTATTTTATTAACCTGTTTGCTTTGTTTTCTTGGAATTCACTGGAGAGTTATTTTTTGTCTTCAAATTCTTTCGAGTATTTGTGTCCTTATTTCTTTGAATGTTTTATATGTTCTCATTAGGGACTATTACTATAGGATTGATGATATTCAGACAAGATATTTTATTTTGTTTTTCACATTGCTTGCCTATTTACATTGGAATTTTAACAAATTTTAAAATATGGAACACTTCCTGAGTTTGTACGTCATGCTTGCACAGAAGCCATAGCAGTTTCTCTGTATGGCTTTAATATAGGAGCTGCCATAAGATGTTCCTTCATTAGTTTATACTTTGTCTTGAGTCTTTCACAAATGGCTGATTTGCTTTTTTGGTGTGTGTGTGTGTTTACAAGCAGTGCATGTGTGGAGGGTAGAAGACAACTTTAATTGAAGCAAGATGTCTTTGTTGTTTGCTGGCCCATGAGTTCTGAGACTTCTTCTGCCTTCACATCTCATCTCCCCACGGGAGTGCAGGGGTTACAGTTGCTACTCTGACCTTTTTTTTAATTTAAATTTATTTTTTTAACATATGTTCTTCATGCTAACTCACCAGTCCTGGTCTTTGATTTTAAACAGTGCCTACTGTTTCTTTATCAGTCCCTATGGTGAAGAACCACATTATACCTGTTTTCTAGAGTCATATTCATAGATTAAATTCTGCTAGGACACTTGTAGTTGTATTACTGATGAAAGGAGAATCTCCAGTTCCAGGCCAGTATAGGCAGTGTAGGCACTGGGAACATATGGGTTTCTTAAAAACCAAAACCACTGCAACAAACCCCAAAAACTATGGCTGGAGAGATGGCTCAGCACACCTTGTTCTTTTAGGTGAACACAAGAGAGCTCACAGCCAGTAGTAACTGCAGCTCCACGGGGTCTCTAGGCCTCTGGCCTCTGAGCACCTGCACTCAGATATATATACCATGCTCTCTCCCCACCCAATATAGATTCTGATTCCTCATCAACAAGACATGTTTACATTTGTTTCCTTATAATAGAGGGGAATAGCTAAGTTTAATTCCCTTATAACAAAAAGTACATATCAACAAGAGACTGGAAGATTGGAAATGTGATAATTATTTACAAACAGTACAAAGCTAATTGGAATTAAAGTCCCGACTAATAAAAATAGCTATTTTAAGCCTTTTATAACATTCCAGCTAGGTGTAGTGGTTCATGCTTATAATTCTATCACTCGAAAACTAGAGGTGGAGAGCAGCCTGGGCAAGTAGGTCAGATCTGATCTCAAACTGGATTTTAATAGAAGTCGTGGCATATGTGTTCAGTGATGCTGTGTTTGCTTGGCATGCAAGTGGCCCTGGGTTCAGTCCCCCATACTGTAATTAAAAACAGCTAATTCATATCTATAAGATATACATTTAATAATTTACACTAGTTAAAATATAGTAATACAGTAGGCTTTATTCACTATTAAATAGTACATTACCGAATCAATCTTGTGTACCACATTGTATCCTTTCAGTGATTTATCCCAAGTAATTCTGTTTTCAGGTTGGTAGAGGAAATTGGAGACCTTAGCTGTTGACTCTCGAATTACGCCTTCAATACGATATCTATGTCATCAAAGTAAAGAAAAATTTAAGAAATTGACTTTAATCTGGAGATAGAGTGCAACTGAGATTAAAGAGAGCAAACCACAGTTAGGAAACTGTGAAACTGAGTATCTGCTGTCTAAAACACCCAGGACCAAAAATGCTTGTTATTTTGATTTCTTTTTAAATTTATTATATTTTCTATGTAATAGATAAATATAATTTATTAGTATTTATATTATTTTTGGGTTTTTGCATATCTATAATGAGGTATCTTGGGGATGAGCTCTGTCTCAGACCAAAATTCATTTGTACTTTAGCTTCTTTACATTATGTATTCTAAAGGGAACTTTATATAATAATTTAAATAATTTTATTTAATACAGTGTATTGAATGTAAATTAGCACAGTTTATTTAAATAAGCATTGCAGCAATTATTTCAATGTTTACTTTTCTAGCCCGGCCTGATGGCGCAGGCCTGTCATCTCAGCTACTTGGGAGGCTGAGCAGGCAGGAGGATCATAATGCATCATTTTTGTCTGGGAAACAAGGTGACTTCAAGATCAGACCAGGTAACTTAGTGAGACCCTATCTCAAAATGTACAAAGAGCTATGGCTCAGTGGTAGAGAACTTTCCCAGCGTGGGTTAGGACGCTGGATTCAAATCCACTTTAGCAGAAGGTTGCCAGCTGAGTACAATCAGAGTAAGATGGCCACGCCCTTAACGCTTTTACTCATTTCTTCCAAAGAAGGAGAACAGATGTTTTAAGGTAAAACCTTTAAGTTTCCAAAGAATTAAAATTTACTCAGAGAGCGTGAAGAGAACAAAAATGTCATTACTAGAGAGGAGAGTAGTCACGTGTGTGGAAAACTGCTACCCTCAACTTTTGCTTTGTATTCACAGAGGCCCGGCCGAGCTACGGACCCTGGCTTTTATGGAGCTCAGAAAGTCTCGAAGTTAAGCTTGCCTCAGCCTCCCGAATGCCAAAGCTACAATTACAGGCATGTGCCATTGTATCTGGCTGGCTTCCATCATTTGCTCAGACAGGAATTCTTTAGATGACTTCCTTGTATACTTGACTTTTTCTTTAAAAGCTTAGGTGTTTCCTAATTTCCTCTCTGAGGTATTCTGAAATTCCTTATTGTAAGGTTTACTTCCTCCATGTCAAAAATATTTTTTTATTTTTTATTTTATCTTATTTTTTGGTTTTTCAAGACAGGGTTTCTTTGCATAGCTCTTCTGTCTGCTTTGTAGACCAGGCTGGCCTCGAACTCACAGAGATCTGCCTGTCTGTGCTTCCCAAGTGCTGGGATTAAAGATGTGCAAGACCACTGCCTGACCTTTCAGAATTTTTTTTTTAACATTTATTTATCTATGTACTTTATGTATATGGGTGTTTTGTTTGCTTGTTCATATGCACATCAGGAACTGAACTCAGGACCTCTAGAAGAGCAGCCAGTGCTCTTAACTGGTGAGCCATCCCTCTAGAGGCTACTATTTGAGAGAAAGAAAGTGAGAGAGCGAGTGAGAGAGAGCGAGGGGGGAGAGACAGACAGACAGACAGACAGACAGCAAGAGCACTCAGTTTTAAGCCCGGGAGAAATAAACCCAAAAAAATCACCATGTAATGCAACAATGTCAGACACTAAACAGTTAAAATTTATGCACAAATTTTGTTTACACACGGCCACAGTTGTCCTTTACTTAACTAATGTCTCAGTAAACTCTAATGATAGTGACCAGCTATACCTAACAACACCGAATTAGCCCTCTCATAAAGCAGTCCTTCCAGAAATGTAATTACTGATGATGACTAACAGTAGCTGGTCACCAAGTGCAAACTGTTTAAGTGCACTTCTGTGGATCTATTGTCTACCCTTCTGTACTGCATCCTGCTGGACGGTGAGACTTTTCATCCAAGGCCCCACTGGAAAGCATGGTCAGTATGGACACACGAGAAAGCACGGGAATATGGAGAGTAGAGGGGAACGCGGTGCCAAAGCTCTTTTTGGGAGACTTGGAAGTCTGTTTTACAATTATTTATGATAGTATTATTAGATGACATCGAACTGTTGTCATTACTGATTCTTTTCCTTGTGATATATAGATAACAGAGTTTAAATGTTACTTTTCAAATTATCTTATTATCACTATGTAAATGAAGTTTTATAATGTGTGTGTGCCTGTATGAGTGTGTGTACACCATATGTATGCAGACGCCCACAGAGGCAGAGAACATGGAATTCCTTAGAACTGAGTAAAAGGTATGTGTGAGCTACCGATGTGGGTGCTCGAAACTGTGTGTTGATCCTCTGGTGTTCTTAATGACTATGGCATCTCGCCCACTTGGTTTAGGAAATAAACCATAATAAATGCTATACTAAATTTGGGCTTTTCATTTTGGTCACAGCAACTTTAGCCATTACTTTTGTTGTTATACCATTTTTAAATTCGTTTAAATTTGACTGATGTTAGTTATAAGATATATAAATAACTCGGGTGTCTTCCCCAGGGTTTAAGAAAGGATTAAATATATTGATAATAATCATCAGCATAGATGTATTGATAGTGATCATAACATAGATGTATTGATAGCGATCATAGCATAGATGTATTGATAGCGCTCATCACTATAAGGTATTGATAGCGATCATCACCATAACAGTATGAAGTAACTTCTAGGAGAAGAACACAGCATGTTCCCTTGGTAATGGTAAATACGCATTAATGTTAAAGCAGAAAAGGTAGACTCCAGTACATGCCTTCTCTGGATAATGTGCTTCAATTATTCCATATATGCATGGGAAAGATTTAGGTTCAGAAGGAATGATGATTAAGGTAATTACAGGCAACCTCTGAAGCTAAGTCCTGGTTTCTGAAAGTTCTCATTTCGCTGTTACAATGTAGGTGTCTTGGGGATAGTCACCTAGGTAGGCCGTTATTCACCTGGAGGCAGGGAATAATGGTGTTTATATTGTGGAATATATGGGGAGTAAATTAAAATTTTATTTGGTGTAATGCCTACCATAATATTAGGGCATTAGAGGAATGTATAGTTGGAGACAGAAAGAGAAAGATGCACCTTCCTTCTGATGCTAAAACCAAGTGTTCAAAACTAATCACTAAAGGTTCTTTTGGGGGCAGTAAATTATGAACAGAAAGTACAAATGCGAATAAAATATATAGATTACCTCTATTTTTGTTTCCTTTAGCTTCGTTTTTCAAGACAGGGTTTATCTGTGTAACAGTCCTGGGTGCCTAGAACTTATTTTGTAGACCAGGTTGGCCTTGAACTCACAGAGATCTGCCTGCCTCTGCTTCTTGAGTGATGGGATTAAAGACATGCACAACCACCACTGGGCTAAATTACTTTAATAATGTGCTTATATTTAACTTTCTGTTTGGTAATCAATATAACTAAAGCACATATAGTCACTAAATAAATATACCATAAGTCTTTGTGGCAGGCAGTGTCCTAATATAGGGATAACACAAAAAATAAGGGTGACTTATTTCTAGGCACACTCTTATTCAAGTTCCTGTTCACACCACTTCATATTTTAATAAGACACACAGGATGAGGTAAAAAAATAAATTCCATATAGTGCCACCTATGTAGGTTACAATAGCAGAATAATTAGTTAAAGAGGGACTGTGTACATGTAGGACATTTGGCCTAGTGGGCAGGTATGTTGTTCTGAAGATGAGAACCAAGAATTTGCCAATCAAAGCTGACATTAGCTTTGGAAAGATATGGGGAGAAAGGGTGCCATGCAAAAGAACCATGAAGGCTTTGTGAGTCCAGTGCAGCGTATTTGAGGATGTAATACAGGGATGAAGAGGATGAAGTGACAGGAAGTGAGGGCCCGGGAGTGACTTGGAGGTCAGGACAAAATGTTTGAATCTTACTTTAGCCAGGAAATAAATCATTTAAAGGGTTTTATAAAGGTGAGTCTCAAAATCCAAATTATATTTTAAGACCCGGCTTAGGCACTGGGTGGACAATGGGATATTCAAGAACAGAGACCACGAGCCATTCACATAGTCCACTGAGAGGTGGAGGCGGCAGCAGGGTCATCGCAAGAGCTAACAAAAGCCGACTAGCCATGTCTGTGTGTTTGGATATACACAGAGCTTCGACATGGATCCAAACATGACACCAATGACCCTTCCCTCGCCCATTTTTAGAACACCTTCTTATTGAAAACAGAACTAGTAAGCCAGCTTGTGTTTGTGACCACAGAGGAAAGCGCTGTAAGGAACCAGAATCCAGCAGCGCTGCAGCTGGCTGGGAAGCCAGAACAGGTGGACCCATCTCGGGGAAGAGACAAAGGAGGGGCACGAATCTGTAACTGACAACCAATTCTCACCACCCTCCTCTCCTACAGCAGTCCATGGCAGACAGGGATCTGACCCGGGCACCATGGGAACACCAACTGCAGGAGACTAGAAAGTCACCAGCAAATGTGAATGGCTCAGCAGTCCAGGGCCACTGCTCCAAAGAAAAACACAGAAAATTCAGCAGCTGAGTTGCCTGCTGGGAAAGAATAAAACTGACCAACTCTTAGCCAAATTGACCAAAGGAGTAATGCAATCCAAATTAATAAGATTAATCAAAGTATCCACCTGAAAAAAGACAGCCTTTTAAATAAATGGTGCTGGAGAAGCAGGATATTAGCCAGCAGACGGTGAAATTGGGTCTGTCTCTCACCTTGCACAAAAATCAATTCAAATTAGATCAAGGTTTTTTTTAAACCTTAATGGAAGGCCTGAAACTCTGAAAGCGGGAAAGGAAACATTTCAGGATGCAGGTCTAGGAAATAAACTTAAAATAAAAGCCTGGCAGCACAGTAAGTAGCCATAGCATCGACACACCTTGAAACAGCTACCGCAACAATTAAACACCCAAACCTTCCTTGCCTATCAACAAGTGGGCCGACAAACTGAGCAGACATCTTTCCCGAGAAGAAACAACTGCAGTGCGAAGGTGAGTTATGGAACTAAGCAGTGTTCTGGGCACCATGCAGCCACCAGCTGCTCCCAACCCTGTGAGAACAGAGCTAGGCTTCCACCTGTCCTTTCAAACCCTCCAAATCCACCCACCCCTCCTTCCCTGCAAGGGTTATTTCTTAGCTGCAGTTCAGTAGACCTACAAGCAGGACAATACTGCCACCTACTGTTTGAACTTTTCCTATCCCCTCCTTTCCCCCCTTTTGGTTCCTTGTTCTTTTTCTGTACTCTTTCTTATTGTTTCTTCTCCTGAAGTCCAGAGGCTGGCCTGGTTTATGGTATCTGGGTACATATTCCCTATGCCATTTTTCCTTTTCTGCAATCATTCCTCTCCCCAACTTCCCACCTAACAGCCTAGGACCTATCTCTAGTCTCGGGATTAATGCCCCCCTTTCTTTCTCTTTCCGTTTGTACTAAAACATTAGTATATGCAATACTACCAGGCTATCTTGACTCCTCAAATTAATCAGTATTTGGCAAGGGTTGTTTTGCTAGTCTATTTTCATAGTGGGTTAACTACTAGCAGAAAATTCTGCAAATAGGAAAAGAGAAGGCTATCCAAACACAAGAGGCACACAGAACACCAAACAGACTGAACGAGAAAAGAAACTCCCTAAATCATTATCACTAAATTTACAAAATAAAGCAAGTATATCAAAAGCTATGACAGAGAAAGGCCAAGTCACATACAAAGGCAGGCCATCAGAACAACGCTAGCTTTTCAGTCCAAACTAAGAAGAGGTGGGGCTGATGTCTTTAAGACTCTAAAAGGTCTTGATTGCCAACCTAGTCTAATATACCCAGCCAAACTATCTGAGTATATCATAATCGAATGACAAAAGCAGGCTAAAAGAATGGTGCTACCCACAGTAGTCTAGGTCTTCGTATGACAGTTAATCAAGGCAACCCCTACCCCAGATATACCACAGACCAACCTGTTCTAGAAAATCCTTACTTAGTCTTTTCCTAAGGGATGTTATATTGTGTCAGGCTGACCTTTAATAAAATAGGTTTGACTTCCCCGGTATGCCTAGGGTTGAGTACAATCCCCCTCCCCCATCCTCAGTTTATCTAAAAAAAAAAAAAAAAGAAAGAAAAAGAAAGGAAGAAAGAAAGAAAGGAAGGAAGGAAGTTTGTTCATTCTACTATTAAGGTCATCTGACGTGAATAAGAGAAATTCATGCTATCCTTATCTGCTAATAAAAAATGGCATGCAGGAGGCTGAAGCCGGCAAAGCTGAGTTAGTGAGACCTATTCTTTAAAAACAAAAACCAACAACGCCAACAACCTCACAAAAATCACACCGACAGCCAGAGGTACAAGTATAGTTTTCAAAGAAATGTTTTCTAAAAATTTGGTCATGGTTTTCTCGATAACACAGTGATCTAAGGGAACAGGTGTTATACCAAGAACTCTAAATGAACACCAAAAAAAAAAAAAAAGACATGACATTCACTTTGAGTGCACTTGTGTTTGAAGCAGTCTGATTCTCAAAAACACATTTTCAAAGCACTCTATAGAAAAACAATCTGCACTTAAGAGTGAGAAAAAATTTGATGGGGATTTTTTTTTTTAGGGGTTTAAGAGTAAAGTGAAGGATTTCAAATATCATAAAAATGCTTCTGCTGGCAAGAAATGCCAGTGCACTTTTGCACGCCTTTTCCGTCCTAATGAATTAGAAGTTTCTGGCATCAGGGATGAATCTCAGGGCCTTGTTACGTGAGTGAAGACCTCAACACTGACCAGCAAGGATTTGCTCTGTGCCTGTGTTCATGTCGGAAAATTGTTGCCCAACGCACGACTGCTCTATTTTATGAGAATCACATGACTTCATGCATCACTTCCTGGAGACCAGAAAGTAGTTTGTTCTAGCTAATGAGTGCTGTTGACTTTCAGATGTGGCAATGCCACTGAATTGAAAACTGCAAATTGGAAAATGTACTCACAGATTTCCGAGGAACTTTCTAGAGGTCTTGCTGGAAACAGTTACCTTTTTCTCAAAGGGGAATAAAATCCAGAAATAAATTAACTGTCACATACAGAAAACAAAACAAACCGAAAACAAAACAACCCAACAACAAAACAAAGGTGAAACTATCTTTGTATGGCTTACAAAAGAACATATTATTTTAAAACGTTTTCACAATAAACAATCATTAAAAAAATTAAACTCTTGAGAAATACTTTTCTCTTACTGAAGATTTAACCACTTTCCAGTCAGATATATCTTGATTGTAAGCTAAAACCTCTTCAGCAGAGTTTTGGGCAATTGCCTTAAAGTCCATCTACCTGTGAAAATTTAAAAACAAATGGTCGGTAAAATATAATCATATAAACAAGAAAAATGCTGCGGTGCAGAAATTTCTGAACTCATGGAATGAAACTGCTCATCTTCCCCTCTCTCAACTGCTGTGCTCTTTTACTCTTCAATGCTATTTTTAAAACGGCCTCTGTCTTTTAGCCATACACAGTAATTTCTTGATCACTTGCATCCACAAACCTTTCTTCAAATGAGAAAATATGCTATTGTGTAAAAAACCAGACTTTAGAATCAGGGACCCAGGTGAGATCCGTCTCTGTCCTCTGTGAAATATGATATATAATATTTCTATTTTCTCGTTTCCTTCTTGATGTAAAATTAATATATATGTAACATCCTGTAGAGTCAATGTATTAAAAGAATAAATGCCCAGAGCATGGCATGGTATAGTCATTCAATGAACCATTATTTCCAAAAAGCTTCCTTTGGGGGCTGGAGAGAAGACTCAGAGGTTAAGAGCACTGGCTGCTCTTCCAGAGGTCCTGAGTTCAATTCCCAGCCACCACATGGTGGCACACAACCATTTGTAATGAGATCTGGTGCCCTCTTCTGGCCTGCAGGCACACATGCAGGCAGAACTCTGTATACATAATAAATTAACCTTAAAAAACAGCTTCCTTTTTTCTTTATGATGTTTTGCACTCTGCTCATCATGTGTTTGTGGTATTAACATTGGTAAAGTGAGTGGCAGGGACTATATATGATTTCTGCTTCATGCATGTACCAATCAGCTATCTTCTTGTCCGCTTACTTAGTCACCACCTCCAGGATATTCCTCAAATACAACCAAGAAACTTCCTTTCTCAAGGTCCTTGCATTTACTGTTCTCTCTCCTTGTGAAATTCATGAGAGATTATGCTTCATTGAACCCTTTGCTTAAATGTCAACTATTCAGACAAGATCATATTCAAAGCAATTCAGTTTAAACACATTTAATAAATCTCTCCTTGCTGGTAAGTACTGCAAATGACTGTTTTCATTCCACCACAGCCCCAGACTGAAATTGGGTAGTGATTAGGTCAGGAGAGCAGGGACTTAATAGATAAGATTAGTGTGTCTTTCTAAGTGACTTTAGACAGCTCATTTGTCCCCTCTGCCCTGAGGACACAGCCATGAAGTGGTAATCTGTATTCCAGAAGAGTGCTCTGACCAGAAACCAAACGTGAGGGCACTCTGGTCAGACAGAAAGCCTCCACGACTGTGAGAAACCAACGTTTGCTATTCATAAAGCACCTGGTCTACGGTAATAGGTAATAGTTCCCTCAAAGGGATTAAGTACAGCAGCAAGCACAGCCAAAACAATTAAGACACTGTGTCTGCCGTGACCATCTTTAGGCGGCTGGGATGTCATTGGTCCTTTAACCCATCAACGAGTTTTCAGTTGGGGAAGCCTGAGAGATGTTACCGAGAACACGGCAACATATCTGGATTGAAAGCCCAACTCTGACACAGAAGCTGGTAAAATGTTTAGGCTCTGAATTTCAACTTCCTACATTTATAGAAAGGAGATACTAATACTCATGGGGCCCATAGGGCTAAGAGAGTTATTTTATGCAGACTTATTTGAAGCGGTGAGGGGTTTTGCTCACGGTGCTCAAATCAGGTTAGTTTCTTATAATGAATAGTTCCAGACATCACTAAAACGTCCCTCAGATAACTGGCTCTCCAGCACATTACTACACTTTCACATGCAAGTATCACAACATTTGCAAGATCCTTAGCTCTCGCCTAACACTCTGGGCTGGGTCACAGATCTGTGTTCTCTTGCTTAGTTTCCTAGAAAGGCAGAATCACTAGGAGATATTTTTTTATACTAAAAAAAAACCATTTTATACTCTTGGTTTCCTTACCTTTCTGAACAATTCTAGTCCAGAACTTTAGTGCCCATTGAAATTATTCTCCAAGTCCTAGTGGAGAGCTCCATATTTGTTAGCCTGCAAAGGGATAAGGTGGAGGTAGAATTATTTTGATCCACGACTTAGGTCAACATATTTTATAAACTTCTGCATCTCCATCGAGTCCTTCATTAGCTCTTTATATCTTGATTAAAAACATGGTCCTCAGTGGAAGTGATAGTTCTTCCTTCTCTGTTGCTGCGAGCAAACACCCTGGCCAAGGTTACTCATAAGAGAAAGCCTTGAGCTTGGAGTTCATGGTCTCAGAGGCTCCGAGTACATCATGAAAGAGCAAAGGCATGGTAGCAAGAACAGCTGAGAGCTCACATCTTTATTGTCAAGTGGAAGGCACACACACACACACACACATGCTGAAAATGGCACAAGCCTTTTAAAGTCTCAAAATCCACTCCCCAGGGACACACCTCTTCCACCAAGGCCACACCTCCTAATATTTCCCAAATAGTCCACCAACTGGAGACCAAGAATTCAAACAGCTGAGCATATGGGTCATTCTAATTCAAGTCACTATCAAGTTGTTTGAAAAGCAATCTTTTTCTTTCCCCCTTCAGTGTGAAGATTGAACCTACCACCTTAAGAAAGTGTTCTGCCACCCAGCTTCATCCTGCTAGGGGAGCTCCTTCAGCCAATAGCCTTTAAGATACCAGCCCACTTGGGTGTGGTCTCCTGTACTATAAATGCAGATAAAAAGTCTGTGTAGTCACTTGCTCTCTCTTTCAGCTGCTGGATTCGTTTCCTGTCTCTGCTAGAGCGAGTGTTGATCTGTGAGTCTACCCCTAAATAAAGAACCCCTTATTATGGAGTGTGGGACTACTTTATTGTGTTCTTCTACAACATCCAAAAGACGAGAAACTCAAAGCAATAGCTAAAAAGAACTTTTGAAAAGGACAGGTTAAAAAGATACCTAGATGAAATTTAGGTTTTTAAAGAATCTAGTTTTACTAAGGCCATGCAAAAACATCATTTGGCTGGTCTCCAATATGGGCTTTCCTAGCATATAAAACACAGGTTTTTACTTCTCAGCGACTTACATAATACTGGTCTACATATTTCACAATTATTGGCATTTATCACTAGCTTTACGTTTTTCCATAGGCGGTATCATTATTTTAAAACCATTGCACATTTCCACAATAGATGTGTGTTTAATGGACCATTGAACTGTATTATTTTATGGCGTCTGAAAATTTCATTTGCTAAGAGAAACAGGAAGGCAAAGTTTAGAAGGTCAGAGATGGTACAAAGGTGCAGAACAAATTGTAGTTCTATTACCTGACAATGTAACACCGAATGAACTAGACTATTCCGATAGAAGTCAAGGAAGGATGTCTTCAGCCATAGGGTCAGTGGAAAACCACCTTAGACTAGTGTTGAGATAGCATCTTTTTTTGATAGAGCGAGCACGCGGTTGCAACTTGATTCTTCCCACCTCATATCCTGTCCCGGCCTGACAGACAGGTTCACACAAGTTAGTGATCTTTACGTTTGTATAGTTTCCCTCTTTCTGTAATGCCCGACCGGGTCCCTAATCCATTTTGGGTCACTGCCATTCTTTCCTGAGAACCAAGTTCCCCAAAGAGTTTGTTAAATCCCATCACAGGTCCATCTGACTTCTTCCCCCAGTCCTAAAATCTAGATGGATGCCCAGGTGGGGCAGAGTCCTGGAGCCCTGAGGAAGGACGAAGGACTTGGTGCGCTGACTTGGTACCTATGTTGGGAACGGGATTCTCTGAAGTCGCACAAAGCTCACTGGAAAGACTTGGGCTTTGAGGATCTGGGTCTCAGAAAAGGGACCCGCAACTCCTATAGTCCAGATCCCTCCCACAGCCCAGGAAGAAGAGCAGTGTACGGGATGAGGAGGGCATGGGACCTGGATGTTGTCTAGAACCTTCCCATCTAACTCGGAGAGAAGACAAAGGAGAAGCCTCACCTCTCACGAGGGACGCCGACCTAACGCCCCTCAACGCCCTTTGACCTCTGAACTCTCCGCGGGGCTCTCGAGCCCGCCCCCCCCCCCGCCCCCCAACCTCCGCGAGCCCAGTGCGACGCATGCGTCCTGAGGGCGGGCCGGCGCCATGTTGGGTTGGTTTGAATGCGAGCGCGGGCGTCGAGCCGGCCGCCGTGGGGCGTAGCGGTCCCGAGGAGGGCGGTGTCCGGCTCAGGGATGCTTTGTCGCGGCGGCGTCCGGTTTGCAGAAGGCCTGGGCTTTCGACAGAGGGTCTGGAAGTCGCTTTAAAGAGCGTCCTGGTGAGCTGACGCGCATCCTTCGCCGTCGGGAAGGAGGGAGGCGGAGGAGCCGCCCCAGGGAGGGGCGTCCCGGGGTGCGGGGTCCGCGGGTTCGGGGCGGGGGCCCGAGGTCTCGGCGGCTGCAGGGCGGCTGCAGGGCGGCTGCAGGGCGGCTGCAGGGCGGCTGCAGGGCGGCTGCAGGGCGGCTGCAGGGCGGCTGCAGGGCGGCTGCAGGGCGAATGTGCTCACGGATGTGTCACCGCCGTCCACAGGGTCGCTGCTGCCTCCCCGCCAACCCCGATGGGCCGTGGCCCGATCCTCTGCAGACTGAGCCGGCCTCGGAGTCCCAGCTTCAGAAGTCTCCCGGGCGTTGTTCTTAACTCCCAGAGCGACCGTCTCCCTCGCACCCTTTGGCGCAGTCGTCTGTGTTTTGATTCAAGGCAGTTGACATTTCTTGCCCTAAGTTGGTCTCGTTCGACACGATGGGTTTCGTTTTGGAGATTTCAAGCCGAAGCGCTCGCGAACGGGGAATGGTAAGACAGACGGGGTTTATTTAAAATATGTATGCTTCGAAACAGCCCCGTGGTTAAAATGGGAGGGACAGTATCATAAACAGTGTGTTGATAATTGTTGGAAGCTCAGGGATTTCTTAATCTAGTCTACTTTTTTCACAGACTTGAAAACTTTTCGTAAGAATTGCGGGTTTCCTTTTGTGTCATGTAAGTGGAGTTAACCCTTGGCCACTCAGAGAACTAAATCCAACAGCTTTTCCCTTTGAAGATTTTGCTTGTTTTTTTTAAGGTTTTGTGTAGAATTGGCAGCCTGATTTGTATTCTGAAAAGACATAAACGTTACCTAAGCGGATTTAGTCGAGCTAATTTAAAGATTCGTAAGAAGATAAAGCATAAAATCGACCTTGCCCTATTACTTCTTTAAAGAAAAACCTACAGCAGGCTGCTGAGCAACCAAGAATGTTGTTGCTAACCAATACTACCTCCTCCCGCAGCCCCGAGTGCTAGGAATACAGGCCGGAGCTACTGCAGCCCTCTGATTTTTATTTAATTAGAAAAGTTGCGGATCTTTGTGAGTTCGAAGCCAACCTGTTCTACAAGAGCGAGTTCCAGGTCAGGCTCCAAAGCTACAGAGAAATCCTGTCTCAAACAAACAAACAAACAAAAATAAATAAATAAGTTGTTATATTTTAAAGTTAAATTTGTCATTGATAGTATTACACTAAACAAAATATTTCCAAAAATATCACCAGAATTAAATTATTGACCTTGCAGCATCATAGCACGTGTCCTGTGTGTAAATTCTTAGTATAGAGAACACTTGAGATCTCAGTGACTCTTGTACTCTTGAGTTAATACCTGTCTGGTCTGTTCTTGTTTAAAGAGTTCTCTCAATTTTACTGGAAAAACAAAGCTGAATACATTAAGGGAATTTCAAAATCAGTTAAGAAAGGGGAATTGAATCTACTTAAGAATTGAAAATACAGGAGCTGGAGAAAAGCACTGGTTAAGAGCACTGGCTACTCTTCCCGACGACCTAGGTTCAATTCCTGGCACCCACATGCTGGCTCATAGATATCTGTGACTGTAGTTCCAGAGGATCTGCAGCCCTTTCTGGCTTTCCTGGGCAACAGGCAAACATGTGCACAAACATACACGTAGGCAGAAAACCTGTACACAAAATAAGATTTAAAAGAATTAAAAGTACTGGGGATATGAAGGTCAAGAGGCGATTCTTATTTTTAAAAATGCTTATAGCTAGCTCATTCTGAAATAAGATTTGTCAGTTAAATTTGTTAATTTAAGTATTTTGTTCTCTATAGCTACTTTTTTTGGGGAGAGAGTTGGCTAATGTTTTATATTGTTGCTTGTCTTTCCTGTTCCTTGTTTCTAATGCTTTATCTGATGGCTTTAAAAATTGACTACCTTCTGCCTGTAAGTAGGCTTATAAGTCTTACAAAATACTGTCTCTTGGCTAATGATAGGAATTGTGATGTCATAGAACGTATCACCAAATGAAAAAGGATTGTTCATTAGCAGCTTTTAGGACTTTTAAAAAGTGAGTATCTTTTCCTTGGTATTCTGAGTTTATGCTGAAATAGTTTTTGAATATATATTTCCAAGCCCATAGTAGGTATTCAGTTTTTTTTTTTCCAAATCATTCATGAAATGGCTAATAGTAAAGGTAATGGGAAACATTCAGAGCTTAAATAAGAACATTTATTGTTGACAACTAATTTTATTAATGAAAAATTAATGTTTACTTATTTAATAGTTTTTATGGCTTATAGTCATAATCCATTGGCACTGTAAGAGTTTGTTTTTGTATTGCAGTATTTAATGGAAATAAAGAACTCATTTTGAGAAAACCATGGCAAAATCAGCCCCAAAACACAGACGTTGTTCTCGGGAGTCTTCAGTTTCCTCTCTTCTGGCAAGCTGCAGCCTGAGTGGCGGTAGTTCCTCCAACTCTGGTGGCTCTTTTCAGTATAAGGACAGATTGTACAGTTCGGCTTCTGAGGCGTTACAGGCCTACATTGATGATTTTGATCTACGCAGAGAATATCCTGGAGCAAACCCTGGTGGAGTAAAGACTGGTGGAGCATCTCGTAACATGCTGCGGTTTTCCAGCTGTGTGCATAAACCGACCAATGGTATGCTGTATTCTTAGGCTTTCTTGCATTCGTTTATATCCGGTGATTAGCATATTTGAGTAATGTGTCTTATAAAGTTGGATTTCTTTTTGTTATTTTGGAATAAAAATAACTTTTATTTTGCCGAAGTCTTTATACTTTCTGAAACACATTGTATACTTGTCATGATCCCAGGAGTTTTTCCCTAAGATCTTTTGACCTTGGAGAGGACAGCAGTAAATATAATTACCAATAGTAAGTCGCTGATCCTAAACTCTTAAGCCACTTTTCTGTGGTATGATGGAAAGAATATTGCTATTGTCTTAACAAGCTAATGCCTAAGTAATCCCAATCATTCTGAGTTTATATTTGCTCAGTTTTAGCTGGTCAGATAGGAATATCATTTTTTATTGTCTATATTCTGTGGATCAGTAGTCACAGTATACTCAATAAAGCTTTCATGAAGACAAGTTGGAAAAATGAGATGTTGATAAGCACTGTACTGAACACTTCCAGAAAAGCACAGAGTGGGAAGGATGTGGGTGATGTATTCCAGAAGAGACCTAGAACGGCATTCTCTGTGTGGCCATGCCATTGCAAGGTGACCAGGAGAGAAAGCAAGTTGTGTTTCTACCTGGTTTAGTAGCACACTTCTCCCTATGTGGTAGCCAGTTTTCGGTAATCAGCCTTAGTGATTGTGTTGATTAAAAGGAATGTCTGCATTGAGAAAGTTGAAGAAACAGTAAGTTAGAGAACACACACAAGTTCGGCTGATTGGTGATACACATAGGAATTGAATACTGAAGAGGTCTGGAAAAGCACATTTTTAATTACCAGGTTATATATTTATGTTTAATATTTCTATTCAAAACTAGTAATAAAGAGAAAACACCAAAAAGATTCCTAATTTTTTAGTTCTCATTTCCTGTTAAGTGTTGCATATGATAAAGAAAATAAGTAGGGCTGGAGAGATGGCTCAGCAGTTAAGAGCATTGCCTGCTCTTCCAGAGGTCCTGAGTTCAATTCCCAGCAACCACATGGTGGCTCACAGCCATTTGTAATGAGATCTTATGCCCTCTCTGGCTTGCAGGCAGACACACAGACAGAATATTGTATACATAATAAATAAATAAATATTTTAAAAAGAGAAAATAAGTAGAATTATCTTTTATTTTTCAGCTTTTGAAAACCTTGATCACAAACAGCACTTAAACTCCTTGGCCTATAGAAGGGAGACAATTACGGATATGGACGCCATCAGCCTAACAACTGATGATTTGTTAAGACTGCCAGCGGACGGCTCTTTTTCCTTCACTTGTGTTGCCCCTGGTCATCGACCAAGCAAGAGAAACAAGAAATACATTGGTAGACCGGATTCGTCGGACGTTAAAAAGAAGCCAAGTTTTCATGTAGCCTCTACTCCCAAGAGCAAGGATAATGTACTTACTCCTGATGTATATACAGATGTAAATGGAAAGAAATGTGGTAGGCCCAGAACCCCCAAACCTATGACTAGAAATAATAAATGTGTTTTGGAGTCACCTTTATCCTTTCCTAAGGAATCGTCTTTCAAGGACAGTTCAAAGTATGGTCCTGAAAAGAACTATCCAAGATGGCTCACGAGCCAGAAATCTGATCTTAATGTCTCAGGGGTAACTAGTATTCCTGATTTTAAGTATCCAATTTGGCTCCACAGTCAAGACTTGCTACCTGATGGAAATAGTCAGAGGGTTTCTGAGTTACTTAATGAAGATGCATATTCCCCCAGGCATAGTCACCAGACACAAAGAACTCCGCCTACAGATAAAGTAGATGGCTTTGAATATTCTTTTCAACCTCCAAACTTTACAAATTCCTTCAGTGAGAATAAAGGATTAGTTAATGAATATAAATATGATCCCGAAAATAGCCAGTGTCAGTGTGAGAATCCACTTCTCCCAGGACAATCCCCAAAGCCGTTCTGTGGTAATATTTTGTTTTTAGTCTTTTATTTTAAAGCAAATGACATGTTAAAATTTAATGTATTCTGTAGAAGCTTTATGTTGTAATAGCGTTTTTTTATGATGTGAATGATTAGCACTTTAAAGCCATAGATGGTCTCTGTTTTCTTTGTTTAAAGTATCATACTTTGTCCTAATTTGCTGTTGTAGTAGTGCACATTCC